TATTAGAAAGGAAGATACTGAAGAAGATGTTAGCGAATCGGGTAATAAAGGCGCTGTGGAAAGTGCGAATCATGCCAGCGAAAAGGAGAGCGATGAAAAAGACAAACTCGAAAATAATACAACCGAAGCTACAACTGATTCGGAAGATCTCAATGAAAAGGGCGGGTCCACAGAAAAGGATACCAGTGAACAGCTTGTCGAAAGTAGTTCCACATACATCGATATTACCGCTGAGGAAAGTCACGATATTAGAATAAAACCCGATTCCGCAGATATAACCGACAACTCAAAGGACAAGGAAACTATGAGCAATGAAGACGATAATGTAACTAACGCAGCCAATATACAGCACCACTACACCAACTTGCCACCAGCTGAGCAAACAGAATCAAATGAAAGACAGGAACCCAGCAGTGAAGTAGCAACAGAAATTGAAGTGACTACGGCGCTGCCGGTCGAAGAGATTATCACGACCGAAAAGAATGCTGTAGAACATGAAAATGAAAGCGCAGAACATGAAACCGTTACTGATGTTACGATAATGATATCTGATGAAATCGACAGCACAGAATCCGATGAAGATCCCTATATTAAACTTGGTGAGACCACTATAAAATACACTGAAAGCTTGAACAACGTTGATGTGTCGGACAACGTCATGAGCGCCGAAGAGGAGGCAACAAGCACTGAAGGCGCTGATATTGAGCCAACGTCACCAACGCTGCCACAACCGATACAAGTGGATGTGTCGGAGTCAACGACGCAAGATGTGCAGCAGTCTAACGAAGAGGCTGAAGAGGAATCCCAGCCAACGCAGTTTGCTGAAAACGTAGTTGCAGCACAGCCATCAAAAGAGGCAGATGCAATTACAAACACATCTGTGGACGAGGCGAACACGCCAGATTCGATCGAGCAAAGCGATGTAACCGAACAAGCTCCAACTCAGCAAACAACAAATCCGATTCAAACTTTTGTTACACAACAACGACCTCAAGTGCCAC